ATAAGAGACAGTTACTTCTCTTACTTTCTTTTTCCAACTAATCCAATCTCTATCAATGGCGGCGCAAGGTCGTTTATGAAAAATAGAATGGAAACTAAAATAATAATAGATATTCAAATTAGCTGTGATTATTCACTCGATAAATTCCAATATGGGGAGCCAACGTGGTCAATATACTTCTACTTTTACAAATTACGTAAACGCCCACTTGTACGAGCCTTGTAAATTAAGAACCTACAGGGTGAAATCAAAGGTACATTTAGCTACTATTAATGCATAAAAATTATATACAGTATATTACATTTTAGATCGATAGAATTATTATGGCTGCTTTGGCACCTCACGGTATTACTGGTCTTATCGGGTTAACAATCACAATAGAATGTTCTATTATTTCTATAAACGTACATTGTGCTTTGTTAACGAATTTGGCGGTCATTTTAGTAATTCTATTAGGGAAATAATTATAATTATTAAATTATTAGATTCGTTTTAATTTTTTTCTTATTAATCGTAATGCAAAATTTATAGCTGTGTGACCGTTTTGTACCGGAACGTATTTCATAAACCGGAATAATAAATAAATTAATGTTGCCATAGTAACAAATATGTATTAGCCGTACATCATAAATGCTTATAAAAGATGTGCAGAAAACTAATCTGCCATTCATTTATTTAAAAATTGTTCCATAAAAATATATACATAGCATTAGTAAATAATGACATGAACACATGACATGAATATGCTGAGGTATAAATTGTCAATTGAAATTAAATATTCGTTGGATCCTCTTTCTTCTTTTAATTTGTTAAAAAATAACCACTTTATTTTGTTTTTCAAAGTTTAAAAATATGGATTTTTCGTTTATATAATTTTGTAAAAAGATGTTATTAAAAATTAAGGCCGTTCTCAACGTATAGTAATATAATTTATGAAGTTAATGTAGGCCTTTACACATTAATAAAGGTAATTTGTGGTTCTAGAAGGTTTCATGGATATGTATATATATACATTTATATATACATATAAATATATATACATATATAATATATACACATATATATACATATATATACATATATATATATACATATATATACATATATATATATTTATACATATATATATATAAATCATCAAAGAAAGGTAAATACATTGTTTGAATAAAGCAGATAATATACATATATACATACATACATACACACACACATACACACACACATACATATATTATATATATATATATATACAATGTACGTATTAAACATAATTAAGCGTTTGGCGCTTGATGATGTTTGTGTTTAATACTTCATAACCTATATTTTTAGCTTATTTCACTAATCCAATCCTGTAATGCCCGCCGATAGCGATGTAAATAATCATTATGTTTACATTGACTATTGACCCGTAAACACTACTACGAGGAGCCAGCACTGCCAAAATTATTCTATCGATACACAATCTACAATGATGCATAGTATATTTTTTGTTATTTTCATAGAAGCAAGTGAATGGCAGAGCATCAAATAAAAGTTTTATTTTGCCATCATTTAGTTATTTCATAATTTTACTGAGGAACCGGTTTATCAATCTTCTGTTCTTCCATAGTGCACAATTATAAGTTATAAACCCAGTCATAATGACCCAACACAAAAAAAAAAAATAATAATAATAATAGTAATAATAATTAGAAATAATTTATTAGTAGTATTACTATCATCATCATCATCATCATCATCATAATCATCGTCATCATTGCGTATCTAGAAGTATTGAAATGAGGGAGGGGATGGTGGGTGCACGAATGTGGATTGGTGGGAGGGGGGTTTGATGTAAACGAAGAGCAGAAAATGTTCGCACATATTATTATGTGCACTCCTTGAGCTATCTAAACCTATTGATATTATCGCTCTTGGCAACTCGTACGCACGCTGTCCAGCGATTGTCTTATTCGAGTTTCGAAGTTACAATTTATATACTTTATTTTAAATAAAGTTTGTAATGTATTTGTACTTCTGAATTTTCAATTATTTAAAGTGTAAACTATATAATATAGGGCGTTGCGATGCTTCAAATCACCCATAGTAATCTCTTCTGTCGACAAAAAATTACTCTATTGTCAAAGACTTGCTTAATAGAGCTTAGCCTGATGATAATTCGATCCTGTAGGCATTATTGGCGAGTGTACCTCTATTTAAAAAAAAAAGATAGGCCTAATTATTTAAAATAAGTTCGAATCAGCTCTTTTTTCTATAAATTTGCTCAAGGTGGATTAGGAATCATGAAGAACAGTGTTCGAAAAATATAAATATATTTATCTTTACATTTTGTGGTAAATTGTGGTTTTAACATTTCTTAAAATGCATTATTTGGGATATGCCTTAGTGAAGGAAAAAAAAAATCACTACACTCATTGAGACTCAAAAATTTAGTTTGTGTGTAATCAGTACACTCTCTGTCCATCGAGGAAATACTCGTCATTAAGGGAGAGAATGCCATAGATGAAGGGTGGTGTATATCACCTCAGCCCCACCATGGTTGGAGCCCAGGCAAGAAAATTATGATTCTGGCACCTCTAGATGGCCGGAAATTTTTTCTCCATGATTTTTTTAACATTTTTTTAAAAACTTGAGGGTTGGGGGTACCCCTTACACTAAATCCTCTTCTGCTGGCAATCTATCCAAGAAATGGCAAAAATAGAAATAAAAAAATAGTGCTAGAATTTTGCGTCATTGTAAACGTGATCGAAATTATGAAAAAAAAACTTAATCCGCCACTGGCCTGTGCTACTATGTTTCAGTGCATTTATGGTTTGAAAGGGCTTTATAACTGAGCAGTTACACTGTTGTCTCTGACTCTCTTGGGTTGTTTCCCTTTGTTAGTTTTTACTTTGTTTTTCAAGACTGCTTTTCAAGCGCGTAGACACTGTCCACTTATATGCGGTATATATTTATTATTACAAAACCATACAATGTATAATTTTTAAAATATTGTTAAATGACCCTTTTTGATAACTGTTATTCTTTTTATATATGTTTAGCTATGTTTTTTTATATTTTTTGTTTGTTGCTTAAGTTTGTTTTTGTTTCTTGCTAATGTTTGTTCTTTTCTGCCTTTGAGATCCTTCGAGATTTTTCCTTGGAGGGCTTTTTGCTGTTTTTTCTTTATCTTAAAATATTGTATTAAATATATAAATAAATAAAAGGTCATTGTGAATGCGAACATGTGGTATTAAAGCACATGTTTGTACTATCCTAACCTTAAAAAATTCCTCCCAATGATTCCATTATATATTTTATTCCGGGATCCTGACTGAGGCTGCTCAGACCTTATGAGGCACTACCACTCGCATATTGTCATGGTAACCCAGTATCTACTATAGGGATATGGCTCAATCCTTACAAACTACTAGTACAGTGCAAATTACAGAGAATTATTTATAGGCCTATGGGTACAAATGAATTGTTATATATAGATGTTCTTGTAGTAGCTACCTTAGTCGCATACTAGAGTGTAGGTTTTAATTTTTTTTCCTTTTTTTTTTTGCAAACAAATGGTTTGTTTTTATCAAATTAAGTACTGTAAGTCTATTGTGTTCTGTAGTACAAGAGGCAATATAACTTAGTTTGTATGCCATTATTTTGAAATTTTATTACAGTATTGTATTTGATAGGCCAATGTATTTTGAATCATTTAAGTGCCTACTTTAGGCGAGATTCGTCAAAGGCAATTTAACAAAAGAAGATCTGACGTATTATCGTATTGCCCTCAAATATAGGCATCTACCTCGCAAGTTAGATTAGGTACATACATTTGTTTTCATTACATGTACATCTCCTCACAATTGGGCAATAACGATTGATAATTTAAATAATTTTTAATGTGCAGTGCGTTGATATTTTTTGTAAAGGCGATATAATAGATGCTTTAAATAATAATTAATAATAATATAACAAAGTATTGGTCTGTATTGTGAATACAAAGGTATAGCCCGATGAATAGGTTATGTTAGTTGTTTTGAGACCGTGGCATCTCAAGTATCGGGTATTTTTCCACCTTAGTACTGAGCGTATAAAAGTAAGTAGAAATATGGGTAAAAAGGAAGAAGGGAAGCAAAAACTAAATTATAAGAATATTTTATACATTTATTTAAAGCTGATGCCTAAACTACAATTAAAGTGCAAAATAAGTCAAAAGACGCATACTACTAATATCAGTTATCGTTTTCATTTATACAAAACATTTGTTTTTATTTTATTAAAAACTATACAATTATTACCGATTTTATACATTGTAGAATAAGTGTAGTGACAATTGGTGACTGTGGGCTCTATTGTAGATATCGCAAAGTGACAATTGCTATAACGAATGTAAATTTGTAGTGATAGTGAATTATTCAGTTATATAAAAAGACATTTTTCTACAATAATATATTTATGTCATGATGGAATGTAATACAATCATACTTAGTTTTGATAATTTGAATAATAAATTTAAACATAATAATTGTACCTGTAATTACACATTCGAGTCAGTATGCTGAGTAAGGCCGTGGAGAACGGTTGAAAATTTCATGGTACAAAAATCTTTCCTTGTGTTGACAACACTTCTACTGGTGGTGGTGGTACTACTACTACAACAACTGCTACTACTACTACTACTACTACTACTACTGATGATGATGATGATAATGATGATGATGATGATGATGACAAAAATAACAATAACAATAGCAATAGCAATATACAAGCAATTTCAATAATAATAATAATAATAATAATAATAATAATAATAATAATAATAATAATAATAATAATATAATAATAATAATAGTAAATATAATAATAATAACAATAATAATAATAATAGCAATAAAAATAATAAATAAAATAATAACAATAATTATATTATTAATAGAAAATAAATTAAGTCCTTACATCAACCTTGAATCAAACTTACGAAACGGAACATATCATTTAAAAAAGTGTTTAACTACCTTTTTGATTCTCCTGTATTCTGTGGTACCCTGTGGTATTTTTAATTTAGGTAAAACAACAGCTAACACAGCCAACATAATCTTTCCTAAAACTACCTTACTAGAAGGCCAAATGGTAAGGACAATATATACAATCAGGATGATAAAACCAAGCATAAATAAGATCACTAGCTGTGTACTATTCAATATTTCTATATAAAATAATCCATATAAAATTGGAACCAACAAAGTGCAAATGCTGACTATTACTGCCCACTTCTGCATTTTCCTCTCTGAAAAAAATAAAATGACCATTAGTAGGCCTATACACACTAAAATATTCTATAGCAAATTTAATAAAGAAAAACATTTTACATACAACGATGAAAAGTAATAAAATAAACCAAATAAAATGACCATTAATAGGCCTATACACAATAGAATACTATATAGTGAATTTAATACAGAAAAACAGTTTACATACAATGAAGAAATGTAGTCACATTGCATGCTTATCCTTATAGATACGCATTTAGGCTAGACTAGGCTTATTAACAATACAGTAGAACATTACTATATTTCCGAAGTTAGCCTACAGAATGAAGGTCTGCCATATTCTATTTTAACACTTGTGAAATGACGAATTCAAGAATAATTTAAGACTGATATTAATGTTAAAAATATAATATATTTATAATAAAATAATATTCGAATTCTTATGAGGTGTGTAATCACGAAGTTTGATAATGATCTTATTGGCTGTACATGAATTTCTCAAACATTAATTTAACAGCACGTGCCCATTCCTTTATGGGGCATGCACGTATTCATGCCCAAAAGGGGGGGGGGGCGCTATAGAAGAACTGCCTTGTGGCGAAAAACACAATTCGTAGGAAAGAAAAAAAATCCAGAATGGGAGACAAAATCAGTTACATAAGCCTTTTAAATCCGCTAAAATGTTGTGTTTCCGGGTATTTACCAACTGCATCTCTTCTAGGGATTCTGGCCTGTCCATGGCCTGTCCACTTAATATGCTATCGTCGTGGTAACCGGCCCCTGTCGGGCAAGTCCCGGGCGCCACTACTGATTGACACTCGTGTATGTGGGAGGTTAAAAACGAATTTTCTTGCTTTGAAAATTACAGTAGATAAGAATTAAATTTAGTCCACGTTAAAAACTACCTAATTTAACTGAAAAAAAATATAACAAATATCAACATAATGTCTAATAATTATAGACATACAGTAACATATTTACCTCTAGTTTTGCTCATGATCTGGCCTCCATTTGTTCTGAAAAATATATTTAAAAAAATAATGTATACATTTTTGAAAACTGCATTTTTAGAGGAGCGAGTAATTTAATAAATGTTAACGACGCAAATAAATATTTGGCATACACCATGATTAATATTTGTCTGCCTGAAAATGTTACTGAACATATTTACTTTCTTATAATTACCCGAGGTTGCTATCATCAGAAGAATCATCTGGATCTTCAGAGCTGCTGCTGCTGCTCACAGTCGATTGATGCCCTGTGCAGAAGCACAAGTTGCGTATAACATCATTCAAAATCATAGATACATTCGACTATCAGTCACAGTGATAATGGCATTACTTTTAAAAGCTGATGTATATATTGTACAAAATGAATGTGATTATACGTACCTTTCTTCTTTTTGGAAGATTTAACTTCTCTTTTATCCGATTCATCTGAAACTGAAAAATTGGCTTTTAAATTATAAGCACACCTCAATTTTTTCGGTTTTTTAAATATCTTTATAGCTCTGAAGAT